GGATCATACAATCATAGACATTCCATTCATGCCAAATATCATTTATTGCTTTCATTAAGACTCTCATTTGAATGTTTGATTTGTTTTTGTGATCGTTTAACCTCCGTCTGACTTCGTCATAACTGATGTATCTATTCAGAGCATGCGATTTTTTGTTGGTGCGAAAAATTTCGGCTTAAATTTAATAGCAGGCAATGAAATTTGTATATGAAATTTCTCGCAGTCAAATTTAATATTTATTGTGGAATTTTGATGAAATGGTTTCGTCTTCAAAAATCATACATTATGCATTTGCTTCAGCTTTATGATTCATGCAATCAACAGCAAAGTCATTGAATTTTTAGATTGGTGTAATTTTTGCAATTCTAATCGCCGGTCTCTTATTGTTGGCAATATGCATTGCGGGCATTTATTTTGGATGTGTTGTCAACGTGAGTTTTCATTGCTAAATCATTTTACAGCACTTTGCCAGACTCTCATAAACCTTTATGAGTATTTTCTCAGCAGTTTTCCACAATCCTGCTTCTGTTGACTCCAAGATATCGATCACTGAAGTTCAATGCAATTTTGTGTTCTTGAAATAAACGCAGCTCCAATACGAGAGAGAATATATCGCAATCAATTGTTAAACATAGATAAAAATATCGAAATCCGTTTAAAATTGCTCAAGAACCTTAAGTCATGTAGTTTTCATGAGTACACATGTTGATCGATCAGATTTCACAGTTGAAGTGGATCACATTCAAATTGAAAAAGTCGAACACAAACAATTAAATGTGTGCCCTTGAAGGGACAAGAACACCGAACAAACATGCAGTATTTTTCGATCAAAAACATCAACAAGATGTTGGAATAGGTGTTAATTATGCTAGTTTCTAGGAGGAAAACAAAGCATTCATTAAGTTATCTATCCATGCAGTCCATACTCCACTTCTCCTATTGTACTGGTCAGCAATCCAGTAATGACAACTATTATCATTAATATCAGCACTGATGTAGTTCCCCTATTATTGCTGTTCCTATCACCATTGGTATCAGTACTTCTATTAGCGTAACTGCTCAATGACCACTAACCAAAATATATGATCAGGATAGCTGTTTGTTTGTTTCGGAGCAGTGCTTGTTTGCATATACCGTTCGTACATTCCACATTTATGACTAATCGAATTTTATGATTGGTCTTAGATCAAAGAGAAGCATCCCAAGTGCGTCAACGTTAGAGTAACAGTGGAAGTTCTTTTTCTCACTATATTTTCGGCAACATTCACGACATAAATTCAGATATTCCGAAGGATTTATGAATATTACTGCATTTACTCCGTGCTCATAAAGATTCATCTACTATTATCTAAGCCAATCGCTAGTTCATTCAGACTGAATTCGAACACATCAATGTGATATTCATATAGAGATTGATGTCCAGCAAAAATTTATTCCTGTGTTCCATTTTCAGTTGAAATTTTCGAAAAACTGATACAAAGAAAAAACGAGAAATTCGAGTAAATGACTCAACATGACCACTTGTACCATTCGAGGGGCACAAAAAATTTTGTATAAAAAAGACATCAGATTCTCTTCAAATGATGATAGCAATTAAACGATGAATCAAACTCTCAAACTTCTAAACTCTCACAGAGATGATAATCCACGAAAGACTTCATAAGATCCTCTTAACAATCAGTTCGATGGATAAAGACTTGTTTGTTTGTCCATTTGTGACGATCAATTTCGATTTTTTTCGAACCGAACAAATTTATGTGGCAATATAATCGAGATAATAGTTTTGTTCAACGATGAGCAATAGTACACGATGAGAAGCATTCATTCATTTATTTGGTTGTGCAATCTAAGAACGTAAATTATGAGTGTGCTCTTATAATGTCAAAAAAATGCGACATTTAAGTAAGAGTAACATTTAAATTGAAAATGCGAAAAGGCCACTGTATCCCATTCAAACATTTCATTTTGAATGAATTCTTTCGAATATTTTTAGCAGCATATGATCCTAGTAGAATTTTGAGTGTCTGTTGTATTCAGTCAGCAAAATTTTTTCACATTCGACGACATTTCACACCGTTTCTGAAGGCAACATCGCTTTTTGAAGGCAGTGCCTGGAAAGAGAAGTTTTCAAAGTTCTTTCTATGAGAAACAAGAAATGCATTTTGTGAATACAACTCGCAATTCGTTATTATCGAAGGAGAGTTCGCAAGTTCACTTTCAAGATGTGACAAAATGAGTGAATGTACGGGTAGATTATATGCGATAACTGAAGATTCACTAAAGTTAGCTTGTTCCAACATGGCCTTCAAAGAATGTGTTGAAAGAGTTTGCAGAAAACTGCTGAGGTTGTTTCGAACGGACTCAAGTAAACCTCAGGTTCAGTCTCGGGCTAACACAAATACGCACACGCTCACACTCAACCTTTGCAGAATTTTTCATTCAAAAATATTCGATACTGTCCCAACCCCAGTTTCCTCATCTCTCAGGGAGCTCTTTTCAAGAACATAAATAATAATTGCATTAAAAACTTTCCAATAGAGTGACCCCAAGAGTCGATTTTGTTTTGAAATATCCTCAAAATAAATCGGTTATTCCTGAGGAAGAAATGATTATGACTGTAATGCTGTCTGATTTTAACGTTCTTAAGATGAGAGATGACAAGAAACGCCATTACACAGCTCCAACTATCGCTCGTGCAAATGCACCGCAGAGGCAGTGGCAACCAAATGAACAACCCGGTATTCTATACAACAATTTTAGCGCTCCAAGGGCTAATTTAAGCGAGTGAGTCGATGCCTTTTTACTAATTCGCTTGATTTCGATAAAGAAATGATCATTCACTCTGATCATTGATCCGAACTTGTCCACTCCGTTTTCGCTACCGTATAGCTCATTTTATTCATATCTCTTGAACGAATTCCAGTGTTAATCAAAATGATCCTTTCGACGATAACCCATCAGATGATCATAATCAAATCAATCATTCTGATCATTTCATAGATATGATCATCTTCAACCTATTGAGTTGTTTAGCGAGTTGTTTAGCTTCATGAGTTAACAATGAATTTGAAGAATTTCAATTCAAAGAAATCAAAACTGAGCTTCAACACAACTTGAATGTTGCATGCATGGACTAAAATAACTTTATACTTCGAAACAACTAAACAACCAAAAATAACGAGTTCTTTAAGATATGCGACGTCACCTCGCACCCAAACGATGGCGCCTGCTCCAGTGCCCATCTCTGCGCCAGCAGGAGCACCGACACCACTCTATCAGACGCACTCCTTCGGGACACCATCATATCAACAAACGCCACCACCTCGGCCCCAATCCCAACCTCATTCTCAGCTATACACAAATCGAACAAATACACCTCAACAACCGTCACCATATGCTGTACAGTCTTCTTACAGACCACCTCAACCGGATACTATTATCTATCAACAGGTTAACATTTGTCATTTCATATAATCTTTTACAATGTTTTCTATCAATCGGTTTATTACAATCGTATAGATTATTTCCTTTAATTGCTATTATTATTTTCACTATTATCATTATTGCTATAATTTTACTATCGTTCATAGCAACACTCACTTTGATCTCCTTGCTTTGATCATTCATTTACTGTTAGCATACAGTAAGCACTCTTTTTTTATCACCCCATTTTCATAACGATATGGCACTTAGTATAT